CAATAAGCCTTGAGCCAACTCTTATCTGTGCATGGACATCAGGTACGAGAAGTTCCTTGGCCATGTCACTTGAGCAAACCGGGAAACTTGGTAGATGTTTTGCGCCCCATAGGGTGCTGCCAGGAGTCATTGCACACCCTAACCTCAAGAGCTCTTGCCAGGACAAACTGGGCCCACAAGAGGACTGAAGCAGTGGCAGGATGAGAACTGAGTATTTGAAGGGAGGAAGAGAGCAGTCACCTTTTTTAGAGACCAGTTAATGTTCTGTTGAGATGAATGGGGAAGGTCACATGCTGCTAAGCAGCTGTTTAAAGTTATCTGCAAGTTCAGACACATATCACTTTGTCCATTAATGTTTCCTTTACTATCATTTTAGGGTTTTTCGTATGTGTAGATTTTTCTTGCTTAGATTTTTGAATTGTTTGGAAAAGTATTCTTGGCACTTTAGTTTAAAATAAAATAAGAAACTCCTTTAACCTGTCATCTGTGTACACATAGACCTAAGTGTACAAAACAAAGCAAAAATCATTTGAGCAGAGAGAGTTTGTTTCCTGCTGTCGCCAACCACTGTGGAATTACGTTTGTGTCTCGTCTTCTACGTTTGTGCTAGCAGATAGACCTGTGCGTATGCCCATGCAAGAAGGAAAGAAAGATTGCGGAGGGTTTGCACCAGATACTTACAGACTGAATTCTGAACACAGACCCACTTTTGAATAAACCCAAATAACGTGCTAATTTCATGGAGGCTACGAGAGGCTCACAACAAGTACAGGAACTGCTGCCACAGGGAGAGGGAGAAAGAGGGTATGGCTTTTCAGAAAGCCTTGATACTGTATTCACTTCTAAGGAATGGCCTGTTCTGACAATAAGTAGTATTTTTAGCCTGTCGTACTACCTCGTTTACTAACAGTGTTGGCCCTGGAATATAAAGGTATCAGCACCATTTTTCATAAATGCATCATATTGTGTGTTTTTGCTAGAATGAGCAGTTCAAATGGCCTTTTTCTGATGCATAGGCAGGACCCTCTGTACCATGCTCATGCATAAATTACCATATTATTATGGTAACTTTCTTTAGGAGTTTGCAGCCTTAGCGTGCTCCAGAACTCCATAGTTTCCCCGTCAGTTCTTATCCCCTGAGCTGAAATCTGGGCTCCACAAAGCACAAGCCATCCTGATTTGATAGTGTGAAATCTTTGCTTTCACTTGATTTTTAAAGCAAGCTCCTTATTATTTTGCGGGTAGACGCAGCCCAGAAAACATAAAGCACGGCAAGCCAGCGACTGGGGATGAGAGCAACGTGCAGCTGGGCTCTAGTGTTGGAGTGAAAAGTGCAGTAGGAGTTCCTCACTTGGGCCCCCTGAGTCCTTCACGGACATGTTACTTTTTATGTAATACTGATTTACATTTAAGATGCATCCCCTACCTGCAGTGCCTTGAGGCCTGCCCTGCGCATAGTGATGTGGCAAAAGACAGCAATTAATTAGTAAGGTTTGGAGAGGGTGTGACAGGACGTTGTTGCCAAAGCTCGGCACAAGTCGCTCAGGCCAGCTCTGGCTATTCCATCACCTGCAGGTCTTGGGTGGTAGGATGGAAAGAAAGGGAAGGAACGCTCCTAACGTCTGAACTGAGAGAAACTTTAAGAAATCAGAAGACAAATTGCTCCTCATTAAGGGCTATGTGATTTATGGCATGTAATTTGCTTGCCAAAACTTTCCTGAACAAAGCTAATTAGGGAGCTGAAAGAGCCTTTCCTCCAGAAACAAGGCTTTCTACTCTGTTAAATAGCTGCAGTCAGATTTGATAGTTTATTGCTATGTTAAAAACTTCTTATTGTTGCCTATATCTCCATGCCACCCATACAAGCGCCCACTTCAAAAAATCCACCAACACTACCGGTATGTAACAGGCAACTTTGACAGAAAGGCTTGAAGAATTAAGTGTTTTCCCAGCCTTACGCTGCTGCTTTTCTGCCACTGCTGGTGGATGACCCCAGCCTTCTAGCGTGCCAGGAGAGTGCTATTCAAGAAGCAGTTTATTTCAAACATGCAGTACCAATTTAGCAAGCCCTATAAATGTAAGCTTAGCTCAAGTATTACTTAGACATTCAGGAAGAAGATGTATTACATATTTATGGTCACGTCCTGATTTCTGACTCGTTAAGGACTGTTCAATGGAACTATTCACTCATTTACTCAAAATTAAGCATTGACTGAATCTTCTCCTCATCTAGACACTGCAGTAAGGTGTTTGACCAGAAGGAGGATAAGCTACTGTGAGCTCTGCACTGCTGCAGCTGCTTTGTTACTAGACTCCAGGCAGGCTTGGCTGAACCTGGCTTGAGCGTCCCTACAGCTGACTTCTCTGTGGATACGCTTCTGTAGTGTCTGCTTGTGCGAGACTGGACAGACAAAGCTTCAACCCTTGAAAAAGTGCCTTTCAGTACTAAGTACAGAGACTTTATCTGAGCTGAACTCGTTGCTCAGCCAGCATTGTAGCTGCTGCAGGAGCGTGAACCAGAGAGAAAAAAAAATTAAAACAGCTTTTGAACGAATCACGAAAGGCCGAATACTCGATAGACCACAGGTAGCTATTAAACATGGGAGGCTTTTTGTTATAGGTCGTTCCAGTTAACTGCTGTGCTGCCCTGCAAAAGCAAGCCAGCCTTGGTTTACACTTGCACACCCATGACACCAGGCAGGCCTTGGAAAGTTCTCCAAAACCTGGCCTGCCAAAGCCTGCAGGCACATGACACATTCCCAGGACTGGCTCCTCAGGCAGAGTAGCCAAATCCAACATGCATATAGATGATAAGGAGCTATTAACTCCCACAGCAACATGGGCAAAAAGGCAAAATAAAACATGTACTCACTGTATCACTGAATTTGTAGAAAACCATCAGGGCAACAGCCTGCAGTTACATAAGACACTGAATAGCTCCAAGAGCAAGAACGGTTGTAGAAAACATAATTCACTTTGCCAGATTGCTGTTATGCTCCCAATCCATTCATATATGAATCATCTGATAGTTCCTGCTGTTTTTTTATTGTTTTTGTTCTTGACAAAATAAGCTGTTGGCTGCCTAAAATGTCCACCCAAATATATTCTTAGTCATCTAAGATGGCCAGAGAGACCAGCTGACAGCTAGACTAGCTCAGCTAACAGCAGAGTTAGTTATTTAATCACAACTTTCTGCTGTTTTCAGAGTGCCTTGAGTACCCAGTAGCCTCCCAGGACACACAGGCACTAGGTTTCTAGGTCTCCAAAAAGCCAACGCAAGAGTTGTTCTCCCCCCCCGCAAAATCCATATCCTAAGGTAACCTGCGATTCCTTTCTCAAACAAAGAAATCAGCACAGTCTCTCCCAATGTCTCTACTCAGGTATGTGGCTTATTCACAGATATTTAAGCGGTGTCAAGGAATTAACTCTAAAAATCACAAATCTTTCCCATTGTACGTATTAAAGGTAAATCTTGTCAAGAACGCCAGTCCCAAATCTCCACTTTCTTTTCAAACAAGATTGATTTGAGAAACCTTTAGGAGTGTCTTTCTGAACACTATTTCTCCTTCCTCTGGAGTAGCACAAATGAGCTCAAACAGTTGGAAGACGATGACAAGGTGACATCCTTGTCAGAGTTTTATAATAGGAAGAAGGACTTTTTTAGTGCCAAGATGAATATGTTTTCAACTTCTGGAAAGTCCCCACCTGGGAACACTAGAATGAGAAATATCCATCATCCGTAGAAATCCGCAAAACAAGTGAGGTAACACTGACTGGGCGCAGACAGGTTCAGAATAACGTTACTTACTACAGACTTATGATTTCTGCACACTTTCTGTTTAAAAAACAAAACGAATGGGTATTTTTGCTTTGTGGATCAGGGTGTAGCGCATGTGGATACTGAGAAATTAATCAAACTGAGAAACATTCTGTCTCTTTTAAAGGAGACTTTTAAAGGTTTGTCTGACATGCAAACTTCAGCTTTGATATAAAATTCTGCTTATTGAGGTTTTTCTTTTTTTATTGTGATAAAAGACATATGTATGTCTTAAATAAAGAAATCCTGAGTCCAAGCAACTGAAAGGCAAGGGTAGATTCCAGCCAGGCTTGTTTTCATACACTGCACACACTTAGTGCTGTGTCCATAGGGAAGAGTCCAGCCGCCTGGATGTTCGTGGCGTGCACAAAGTCAGAGGTAGTGTAGGCTGCTTTGAAAGTGAAGTGAGCTGCCTCATGCAATCAGGGCATGAGTACAGTGCAGTGCAGATGCCTTTTTGAGGTTGCGTTAGGTGCACGAGCGTGGCTGGTGGTAGCAGCCTTACGAGGACAGTGTTGAATTTGATATGGGAGGAAGAAGCCAAATGATAGCCTGGTTAAATGCTGAGCCTCTTTTCATCTCTTTGCCAGGGCAGAATGTGTCAGGTGTAGTGAAAGGAAAGCTAACTTTAATACTCTGTATCCCTGCACTGTAACCTACACTGTATCCTTCAGTGTATCCCTAGCTATTGGGACACAGAAAAAACTCATCTCACCAAACTTCAGCTGAAATTAGGCATCTAGTCAAATCATCTTGATAACCCAGGGAGAGAGATATACTTCAAAGAACATTGCATCTCCCTTTATTTGCACGCCCACCTGAAAATGGGATAGATAAAGAGTTGTCTGGATGAGCTTTGATTTTTCTTTTTCCAAGTCACCGAGAAGGGAAAGTAGACGACTTATACTGGGCACCTCATTTGTAGGTTGAGATGAATCTTACTGCATCCTTAGCATGCATGTGGAAGTCAGCATGAGGTAATTAGCTTGCTGCAAGTTCACGCCTTCATTGCATGCCGATTTCCTTGCATAGACAAGTCCTAAGATCTAATTCTGATATCCTGCCCAGGCAAACATATACCTGAAACTGATAGCAGATTTGTATCTCTAGTTGTGCGTGTAGCAGCTAGTATTTCTGATCCCATCAATGTTGTATATTTATTGTATCCAATTTTTTTTTTCAGACTGTTTATCTTACACAGCCTTGGAAGTGTTATCAAAAAGGTGTTACGGGAAACAGAGATGTAAAATTATTGTCACTAGCCAGGATTTTGGAAGTCCATGCCTACCTGGAGTGAAAAAATACCTTAACGTCAGCTATGCATGTGGTAAGAGTAAATGCATGATCATTTTCCAGCACGCGCTTATTCTACTGGCAGAGCAGAACAATGCCAAACGGCAGATACCTGTGGAGATACTCCCCACCCCACCCCTCCCACTCAGGGGCTTCCTAAGTCTAACCTTCCTTTTAACATATGAAATCTATGACGTAGCCGTACGCAAACAGCCAGAATATGTGAACATGTGAACAATCCCCATGGCCAGAGCTATACCTAACATAAACTCAGACATTAAGTATTTTTCTCTATAAAAATGCATTTTACAATAAAATACAAAGCGTATGTCTTAGTATTTTCAGAAATACTCTCAAAATAAGATTATGTTCTGTAGGATTCACTGGCGACAGAGCCAGGAAAAACAATCTGCTATAGCCTACCATGAGCCCAGGCAAAGCACGCCAGCATAATTGAAGCACTGTGTACAGGGCCCTGTCCTGAAATCTGATTCACATGAGCGTACCTACAGCCTTCAGCCTCGCAGAGGGATTTCCTTTCTCATAACCAAAGTCTCGCTAAAAGTGAAGCTTTGAGGTTATACATCGCTGCAAGACTGAAGCCTGGTGCAGTTCGTTCCTCAGATAAGAGGAATGTCTCTTTACCCTACTCTTTACCATTGCTTAATATGTTTACATCATGGGAAGGCAGAATGCCCTACAGCTTTTTTTTTTCAAAAGGGTTGTAGGACAGCAAAGTGTAATATGAATGAGGATGAGAGAAAAATGATTGCAGAACTTTAATGCAGTGCTTTTTAAGGTACTGCCTGCTTTTAGGAGTAGCTGTGCATTTCTTTAACGTAAGACCTGAACAGATTTCCCCAGCCTCTGCTTTCTGCCTCTGGCTAGCTGCGGGATGGAGGTGAGGTGTGTGGGTCGGTGGTGACTGACTCTCACAAGTCTCTGCTTTAACTACAGGATGTGTAGCAACTTTTTCATGAAGTTACTGCTTGGAGTGCTTGGAAAGCTGCCAGCCCTGCTCCTTTTTGGACAGGCGCTAGCTCCCACTGGTCTGTAGGGAATCACAGCGGTCGCTCCATGGAGACACATCATGGAGTCCTTACACAGTATCTGTAGTGAGTAGTGGTCAAAGGGTGCGGGCTATCTGAGACGTGCCTTTGGGAACAACAGCGTAGGACTGCTTATCAGATCGTTGTGTCTCTGAAGATCAGAGGAAAATGAACCCCTACTATTTCCTCGCTAACATAAGAGAATTTTTTTTCAATCATCTCCCCATGTGCTGGTTGTCAGGTGAGAGGCGGTGCAGTAATTGTTGAAGAGAACAGGAGACCTGTCTCCACACTAATACACGATATTATTGTGCAGTTTCCTCTATGCTATAATAACTTTATGAATGAGTTAATGGAAATCCATTTAATTAGCATAAGGATAATTATAGCAGATCATCCTTTCCTACACACCAATATAATAGAAAACCAAGTGTTTGTTTGTTTGCAGTGAGGTTGTGCATTCTGTCATTTAGTTAAGGAGTTCTGCGAAAACTAGATAATATATAGATAGTGTTATTATGTGTTGCTGGCACATTTTGAAGACTTACTCTCCTGCCAAAACCTACTGAGCTGAGCAATTTGAGGCATTAGCCAATGATTTGCACATATAAATATTTTACATATCATCTAGTGAATATGCAAAAAGTTTGGGAATATCCCAGAGTGACATTTTGCATTCTTTCCCTTCACTAGAAGGTTCCTGCTAAATCTGATGCTTCCCTGCAAGTTAAGGCAAATAGGCTTTCCTCTGAAGTGACAGGAACACAACTGACCAGATCACATCCTCTGAGGGCTGTGCCGTACTTAAAAAGATTTCCATCACAGTCAGGAATGTGAACAAATCATACTCCCTACCTCAGAGGTCTGCAACCTTTTAGGGCTAGTGTGCCAGGCTGCGTTTTTCTTCTGCGAGTTAATTCCTGCTAGTGAATACTTAGCAGAAGCCAGGAGAGGCTGGTTTCTCACAGTCTCAGCGCCCCAGATGACCTTCTCAGCGTCGTCTCGTGTCTGCCCAGGGTAACGTCTCCTGTCTCGTGCTGAGGCTGGAATTCAGGAGCCTCTCTGAGGAAACACGGCTCCCCGCTCCCAGAGCTGTGGCTGTACTTCCTGGATGCCATGCCAAATCCATCTGCGTGCTGCCTTTGGCAGCTTGCGGTAGGTTACTGGCTCCTACCCTACTTGACATAGTAATTCTGGCACAAGCTCTAATATAGATGCGGTTATCTTGATAAAAAATTCCTTGTGCTGGTCTCAGTTATTCTGTTCAGTGACCTGATACAACCTATCTTGATGGAAATAACTCATAAATAAGGTGCATCTGGAATGAAGCCATAACAAAAATTAATAATGCCAGCAGTCAAGAGCGTTTCTTCTTCACGTTGAATTAAAGATCCCCCTACCATATGCGGGCAAGTTACGGCGCTGTTCAAACCCCATGGGAAGCCGTGGGGAAGGGATTCCACCCTGTAGGAAACAAAGCCCTGGGAAGCTCCCCCGAGGAGGGGGAGCAGGACCAGCACCAGCTCACGTGAAGGAGGCCCAGCCTAGGCACCAGGCCACGCGACGGGAGCATCAGGCCACGCAGCGGCGCTGGGGACAGCACGTCCTGCCAGGTGGGGTGCGTGAGGATAGGGCCGGTGCGGAGGGAAGTGCTCTCCCCGCTGCCCCCGATCCCATTGGGGCTGGCAGCTGGGGTGCGGAGACCTAGAGCAGGAGAGATTTTGCAGGGCTGCGAATCTGTGAGCTGCAGGAGCTGGACCTGAGCGCCCCAGGCGCTAGATCGAGGCACTAAGACTGGACAAGATCGCAGTCCCAGCAAGCTCGTCCAAGTATGTTTCCTCCAGCAGTAATTTACTTATGTTTGCGTACCTTCTCTGATCGCCATCCCTCATACAGGCTTCATGCTTGAAGCCTCCGAGCAGCAAAGCAGTTAACCATATGCCCACAATTTAACCTTCCCGCTATACCATGCTGCATAAGGAGAGGCTTAAGGAAATGCTTTTGAGGCTCAGGCCCTTACTGCTCAACAGGATGCAGCTTTCTGAAAGCAGTGCATGGATTCTTTGTTCGCTGTCTTGCAGTTACTGTAAATCTCTCATCTCCCAAGTATATTGTTCGTTACAGCTGGGCCTGCGCAGTCAGAGAGCAGCCTGGGAACAAGCAAGTCTGTTCACTTTCTGCCTCGTTGCACCAGCAAAAAATTTTCTGCCGCTGGAGCACAGTTAAGAATTACGATGATGTGCAAGCCAAAATAATAGGAATTAGCTCATTCTCCCCTATCTGTGTTGGCCTTGTATTGCAAACAGGAGTAAAACATCCTTAAAAAAAAAAAATCCTTCGTCAGGAAAGGAAACAGCTATGACTTTGAGCCCACACACAAAGAAAAGTTCTGCACAGAAAGAAGTGCTATTTTTAGTTATTTTTCAAAGTAAAACTATGCTGGGCCTCAAACTTCGGTCTCTGCTGTTTGGTTTAACTTTTTTCAACACTGTTTATTGGCAAACATTTGTATGTGGGATAGAGGTGAGCTTCATAGTTGAAATTTCTTCCCTTTTTTGCTTGGCATTGGTCTGAAAATCAATCAGTCTGTCTTCGTATAATACAGAGAAGAGGTGCCAAGATCTGGATATCTGAAGGGCCCGTTTGTCTAACACAGAAGAATATGCAAATGCTGATGTGCCTTCTTTTAGTCCTCTTTAATCCTTTTAAAAGGAGTGTGAAAGCTTCCCGAGGGTAAAAAAATTAATTAAATGACAAGGTGGCCGGCCCACTCCCACCCAGTATAGCTCCTCCAGCCCCGAGCACCATCCCTCTCTGGAGCTGACCATTTTGGAGGGTTTGCAGGGCAGGTCGCACCCGATTTTAAACGTTTCCCTGAAAATTACAGTGACTTAATCCTGCCGCCTCCCCCCCCCCCGGGCCTGCCTGCCCATCTCGACCCCGAGCCCACGGTGCCCTGCTCAACTCTCTTGGCCCCAACGGTCCGGCTTTCGGGGCGTTTGTGGGGGTTAGGGTACCACCGGGTTAGTAAAAGTCAAGGCAACCCAGCAGGCAGCAGCCCGACCTGGAAGGAGGGGCCGCGGAGCGGGGCCGGCGCTCGCTCCCGCTGGGTCCCGGCGGAGCCGCCCGGCTCGGGTCCCTGCCCGGCAGAGCCCCGCTGCTGGGATGCCACCGTCGTAGGGGCAATTAATAAGCCCGGGGTAAAACGTGCCGGTGGTGGGCCTGGTGATGAACTGGGGGCTCTGGTTTCCAAAACTAACAGTACCCGCTTCGTCTTTCTCCTTTTTTAGTTCCTAAATTCATCCTTACAGCTGTCGACCCACTGGTCGCTGATAGCAAGCCCTCCGTGAAACAGAACGGTGGTAAGTACGGTATTTAAGGCAAAAAAAATGGTCTGCTGCCATCCTTTGCCTTTAACAGAAAGGGGACGTTTTGCCAGAGCAGAGCTTGGGCCGAGGGAGGTGGGGGTGGCATCGTGGGCCCGCC